GTTACGCTGCATCTCTCCTTTCCTTCCAGAGAAGCTGTACAACTCGCAGGGGCCGGAGCTGCGGCGATCCCTCTTCTCCCTCAAGCAGCTCTTTCAGGTACGGTGATGCTGGCGCGGTGGGAGGCTTGGGGGGAGCTCCCCTGGGGCTGTCTGCCTGCCCCTGCCTCCCACGCTGCAGTAATGCCTGGCTTTCACCCTGCAGGAGGACAAGGACCTCGTGCCAGAGTTTGTGAACCTGGATGGGTTGACATGCCTGATCAAAGTTGGGGCAGAGGCTGACCAGAACTACCAGAATTACATCCTCCGAGGTTGGTATTTGGGTACAGGGCATCTCTCTTCCCTGGGGAAGAAGGCTGGCGCTCTGGGGGGTGAGCAAGCAAGTTTGCATGGGCTACCTTGCAGGCAGCTGCCAGACCTTGCCCTCGTTGTGGCGATGCTGCATGGGGCTGGGAAGGCCCTACCCCTGCCTGCTGCAGCCCTGCCTGCCACACAGTGACCCTGCCCACTCTCTGCCTTGCAGCCTTGAGCCAGATCATGCTCTTTGTGGATGGGATGCAGGGTGTCATCAACCACAATGAGACCGTCCAGTGGCTGTACACGCTGTCAGGAAGCCCGGTAAGCTCCTGCTGCCCTTGGGGGTCAGCCTGTGCCTGCTGCTGCACCCCATTTCCCTGCCTGTGGCTGTCCCCTTGCACCATCCCTCAGGGGATTTACCCCACACTGCCTTTGGGCTTGGTGCCCTGGTACCTTTGGGTATGTTGGGTCCTGCTCCCCACCAGGGGTCACCCAGGGTCCCCCAGAGCTCCCCATCCTGATGTGACTGTGCTCCAGGCCGCAGAGCTTAAGTAAGAGAGGGTCCTGCTCCGGGTCCGTTCCTGGTGCCCTTTGGCCACCAGCATCACAGCTGCAGGCTGGTCCCTGGCCCTACAGCAAAGCCCCCAGCCCTTGAACATGGGCCCAGCCACCCCGCAGTACCTTGGCATTGCATTGGAAGCCCCCTGCCACCGTCCCAGCTGCCGTCCCTTGTCCCAGTTTCGCCTGGTAGTGAAGATGGCACTGAAGCTGCTGCTGGTGTTCGTGGAGTACACAGAGCCCAATGCCCTGCTCTTCATCCGTGCCGTCAACACTGTGGACCAGGGAAGAGGTGGGTGCAGACCCAGTCACCTGCAAGGTCCCCACTGGGGACGGTGTCCCCCCCATGGCCTGCATGTCGCTTTTCTCAGGCACATGCCCATGGTCCAACCTGATGGCCATCCTGGAGCAACGCAACGGGGCTGACACAGAGCTGCTGGTGTTCACCATGACGCTGATCAACAAGGTCCATGGGGGTGGCCCGGCATCTTTGCGATGCCATGCTGGTGGGGCTCTGCGTGGGTCACACTGGTCCCAGCAGCATCCCTCTGGTCCTGCTCAGACTCTGGCAGCCCTCCCAGACCAGGACACCTTCTACGATGTGACGGACTGCCTGGAGCAGCAGGGCATGGAGCGGGTGGTGCAGCAGTACCTGGGCAGCAAGGGCACCGACCTCGACTTGAAGCAGCAGTTCATGCTCTATGAAGTGAGCGAGGCTTCTGTGGGATCTGGCCACGCGCCATGTCCCATGGCAGCGGGGAGGGCGGGTGCATGGGGTGGCAGGGGTGCCGTGCCCAGTGCCATGCTTCCCCGGCCCCTCTGCAGAGCGCTCTCAAGCTGGAGGATGGTGTGGAAGAGCCTCCCTCAGGGGGACGCAAGGAGCGGAGGAGGACAGATGAGGGCCGGCGCGGGTGGCGATCCCAGGGCAGCTGCCCAGAGCCTGGCCCTGATGCCCA